GTGTCAGATGAAAACTAGAAGTGGGTAAAGAATGCAGAGAGTTTCCACCTACCCTGTAAAATTTTCTAAAGGCTCATAAATGGGAAGTTTTAATTTTTTGATAGCTTATCCCTTGTCATGAAAGAATGCCAAGCCGGGCATGGTGGAGTGTACCTATAGTTCCAGCTACTTGGAAGACCGAGGCGGAAGGATCACCTGAGCCCAGAAGGTTGAGGCTGTGGTGGCCATGAACGTACCACTGCACTCCAGCCTGGGCAACAGAGTGAGACTCTGACTCAAAAAAAAAGAATGCCCAAACAGTAGTACTCTAATTTATGCAAAAACTACAATTAGCTATTTTCCCAACCACATGATTAGTCAGATCTATTTGAGAAAATGAATGGCAGTAGCAAAAGTAAAGAAGTCATACGGTCACCCTTATTTTGTCCTATCTGTTCCATGGGGACCTTGGCCTCTGGCTCAGCCTAAAGCCAGGTGAGGATCCTGAAAACGCTTAAGTCCCTCCCCATTCCTGTCCCCAGCCCTGTTTGTGCTAAACGCTTGCCACCCACACAAGTTAACTGTTACTTTGGACCCAAACTGAGCTTTGCACCCAACTTTCACAACTGAATTCAATTTATTCTTTGCCCAACAGAAACAGTGGAAAATTAAACCTGGCTGATGATCCCCTATGAGTCTGCACAATGGGGGCACAGGAAAGAGGTCCTCAAAAGTTATCAGCAAACAAGGACACAGAGTGAATGGGCAAACTCGGCCTTTCCACAGGGTTGCCCTGGGGCATACCCTTCAGCTCCAGTTTTTACATAGTCTTTTTCGCCTTCCTGGCAGCAGCATAGGGACTTTTACATAATTCTTTCTATTCTTCCTAACAGCAGAACCTTCCCAAGACCTGCAAAGTCTCCTCAAGGCCTGCAAACTAAAGGGCCATTAACATATTTCCCACTCACTCAGCAAATACTTATTAAGCATGTCCCAAGTGCTAGGATCTGTGCTGGGCTCCTGGACCAAGTGTATAAACTCCAAGATCTCAGGAGAAGGGACACAAGCAAGGAATTTTCATACATCGTGGGCAACAGCCATCATGATGAGGCTGCTAGCTTCTTCCTCTACCTAGTGGGCAGGGCTGGTTCTGAAATAACAAAGCAGCACCAACACCCCTAACAGGTTCCAATGTCTAAACAATACAATCTAGAAATCTAAACCAGGTAGGCTGGGAAGTAGCTACCTGTCAGAACTAAAGATTCAGGGACACAGAACATTTAGTGCAGATAAAGTGAAGCCTGCTAAAAAGGGTCTGTGACCGAAGGGCTACCAGGAGGTTGGCTCTGGTGCTACCTTCATGACTGACCCAGTATGGAACCCTACATCCCTCTGAGCTCCAGTTTAATCAACTGAACAGGCCAGATCCTTCCAACTCTGACGGTCTAAGTATCAGTAACCTGAAGTAAACCACCTTTCTTTCTGATTCAGAAAGCAGGAAGGAAGGTAACTAAAACAGGCTAGCAGACAGTGGTATAGCATCTTAAAAATCCTTTTGTGTCCGGGCATTGTGTCCCCGCTTCCGTCTTCAACAGTAACTGCCTTGTGGCCACAAATTGCTTTTGATTAACCTTGCCTATCTCTCTAATCCTAACACCTTTAAACCCACTTGCAATATTGAACAAGAATCAACAAGCTCCAGACCAGTGGAAATTGGCCCAGTCTGCCTGGCCCAGCCTCACACCCTGTTCCAGAACCCTGTGCTCCTGATTCCTTCTCTGGCTGAGCACAGAAACCTCCTCCCTGCCATGTCCTCTACCCCCAAGCTGGACACTGTCACGTGGCAGCAAAACAAAAAAATTTAGAGGAGGGAAGAAAAGTCTCTGTGATGAAATGGAAAGAGAACTGGCCAGAGTCTTGGATATTTCAGCCTCTGGTCCCAGCTCCGTTGCTGGTTGGATGTCCCTGGGGAAATCCCTTTCCTGCTTTGTGCCTCAGCTTTCTCATCTGTAAAATAAGAGGGGTGAACAGGACTGCCCCATATTCCCCCTTTCACTGTCAAGATGACATGATTCTTCCCACTACTCACTAATGGACACACATGGACAAACCATGGCAGAGACAATTTCCACCAGGTAGGCCCTGTTACCAAGTTGAGAAGATGCAGGGGGACCAGGACCCCACAGTAGCTAAGAAATGAGGATAAGGACAAACACACAGGATCTGGAAAAACCAGGACCTAGGAACAGCCACAGGAAGCAGGGGGAAAGGCAAGGAAGAAGAAACTAGGACTTTAAGATGAAGGATAGAAAAAAACATACTAGCCAGGCATGATGGCTCACGCCTATAATCCCAGCACTTTGGGAGTCAGAGGCAAGAGGATTGCCTGAGCTCATGGTTTCAAGACCAGCCTGGGCAACTGGGCGAGACCTCATCTCCACAATAAAAAAAATTAGCTGGGCGTGGTGCTATACATCTACAGTTCCAGCTACTTGGAAGGCTGAAGCGGAAGGATTGCCTGAGCCCAACAGATCGAGGCTGCGGTAGCCGTGAGTGTGCCACTGCACTCTAGCCTGGACAACAGAGTGATACTCTGACTAAAAAAAAAAAGAAAGAAAGAAAAGAAAAAAGCATTCTACTGAAAGGCAATTGGACATAAGGATTTAAAGTACCAACTGTGAAGTCAGAATATCTGGATTTGAACCCTACTTGTACTCCTTATTAGCAGTATGGACCTCAGACAGATCTCTTAATCACTCTGTGCATCAAGCTCTCCAGCAATAACATGAGGAAATAACGTTATGTTATGGGGCCTTAAAAGGAATAATCCAAGCCAGGCACAGCGGCTCATGTCTGTAATCCCAGCACTTTGGGAGATGGAAGCAAGAGGATTGCTTTAGCCCAGGGGCTAGAGATCAGCCTGGGCAATTTGGTGAGAACTCATCTCTAAGATAAATTTTTTAAAATTAGCCAGATGTGGTGGCACATGCCTGTGGTCCGAGCTACCTGAAAGGCTGAGGCGGAAGGATCGCCTGAGCCCAGCAGTTTGAGGCTATAGTGGCTGCACTCCAGCCTGGGTGACAGAGTGAGACTCCAACTCAAAAAAAAAAGGAGTAATCCAGTTAATAATGTCTAATAACAGAATGCCTCACACATGGAATCTCATTCTAAGTGTTTTCTCATATTATATTAATATAATATTATGTATTATATTTTTCAAATATTATTTCTAAAGCAAATAGAATCCATAGATTCTAGTCCCTACTCTCTAACTAGTGATCTTGAGATTCAGGTTTACCATTTATAACATGAAAAGAAGCAGCATTTCTCAAAATAGAATCTATGCACATATTGTTGAGGGGTTATAGCTGAGTCCTATTCAAGGATTTTAAACATTTTCTTTTCATTTTGATGGTCATCTAAATAAAGTCTAAAAAAAACTGTGGGTTTTCTGAATGCTTATTTTAAAACCTTGTTCTCGCATAAAATTCCAAAGCCCAAGTTTACATTTGTGTTTATGACTGTGTTGGCACAGGTATAAACTATAGCAGACTACTGAGGAAGGAACAGATGCAGACTCAATTTATGAATGATGAGACTGACCAAACGAAAGCCAAATGACATCAAATGAAGGTCGTTCAAGTAGAAAGATGGATGGAGAACTAAATCACTAGCACATAGTGACATAGACTAGCCAAGTATTTTTCAGCCCTATAGCATACACTATGATATTCACGTCACAACTTATAATTTGGTTTCAGCTATATAACATCAGATGTCTTACCACATGTACATTGCTAATTTGAATTGTACTGATTTTACAATTTTATCTGTATTTAATCTGTAAATATGTATGAGTCATATAGTTATATAATAACCTATAACAAGTTTGTGTCCTGTTTTACATATATAGATATTTAAGAAATATAATAAAAACAAAATTTAGTGGACACAATGGTATGTTGACATTTTTATTCTTTTTTTTTTTTTTTTTTGTATTTTTTTTTTTTTTTAATAATTAATCAGTATTTTTATTATAGTTTTGTGGGGTGACATTTTTATTCTTAAAAAAAAAAAAAAAAAGGTTCAAGCATTATTCTACTTTGAGAAAAACTGAATTAAATTCTCTCCAAAGTCACTTATAGCTCTTTGAGTCTAAGATAGTTGATCATTTTGGTTACAGACATGTTGCACTTCATTAAGACAGCCCAGTGGGTACATTGGCTCAGAATTCAGAAGGGGGGAAAAAAGGCCAGGACAGAACAAAGGATCTAGAAACCAACTATAGAGAGGTTTAGAGATGGGCTCTGCAAGGAAAGGTGTTCAGAGACAGAGAAGCAGTGAGCTGATGTCTCTCAGCTTCAGAGAGTTCCCTCTGGCTTACAGCCCTCACATTCCTCGTGGAAAAATTTCATTCACTAGTGCATTAAAGATGATCTTCTCAGGATTACTCAAAGCATTATTGGCCCATCTGGGAAGTGAATGGCTTACAACTCTCCACAAAAATAAAACAAGTCTCAATTATTATATTCCTTCAGGTCTGAAGTCAAAGCTGTAAGGAGGGAGTCCAGGCTGACACCAAGAGATCCAAGAAACAATCTCTAAGAGCTGAGCCATTAACTCACCTCAGTCATAACTCCCAGAAATACAAGGTCCTACTAGGTGATTTTTGGAGAGTCAGGTAGCTCCCAGGATAGCAGCAAAATGAAAAAGATGGGGTGGTCAGGGGCAATTCTATGCCAAGTTCCAGAGATCAGAACTCATGCCTTGGGCACTAGCGCAAACCAAAGCTAACACTTCTGCCTAGCTGCAAATCTGCCCTCTTTGAAAAACCACAAGGCCATATCGGAGTCACATAGTTTTGTGTCCAGAAGAGCCAGATTCATTCAATCCCTGTGTGAAAACCAGGAAAACTCTTTTCCCTCCTCCCTCCAATCTCCAACTCAAAATCATGGAGAACCATATGGGAGAAATCCGCACCCCTCCCCCACGCCCCGCACCCCAGGAAAATCCGAGCTTACTGTTTGTCTTCTTCTGAAAGTGAGGTTCTTCCACAGCAGCAACCTCAACTGAGGCCAACAAGCCATGTTCCCTCCGCCAGCACCCACAGCGTGTGGCTTGGGAGCCCTGGAAGGCAGTAGCCAGAGCTCGCAGCAGGGACACAGTGGCTGGTCATTAACTGAAAGATAAAGCAGGAGAGGAAAGAGCTGTCAGTTATTGCTGCAAAGCCAATGAGGGCTGCTGCTCCAGCCCTCTCACCTGAGACTTCCAGCACCCATTATGTCATGACTACTCCTCAGGAGTTCATGAGTCCCTGACTCCCAGCCTCTGGGTTCACCAGCAAATAGGAGGTTTTCTGGAAGCAGCCTGGGAGCTAGTGATCATGGTCCTAATCATTTTGGAGTGTGATCACTTGAGAATGAAAAATGCACTTATGAAAACAGAATTTCATGAGCACTCTTGGGTGACCAAAACACTAAAGATGAAAATAGCATATTGGAATCCCAAAGACTTGCCTCTTTTCTCTAAGAAAGTGCCTCCCCTTACAGCAGCATTAGCAAATTTTGCCTCAAGCTATTCCCTGAAATTTGCTACAGACTAGATTTTTATCAGGTTATAAAGTTGAGTCTTTCAAATGATAAATGGCACCATCAATAAAGCAGTTTCCCAATCTGGAAAGTCACAGCATGCCTTCAATGACTGGGAGGAAACACCAAAGAAATGCCACTGACACCTGGCTCTCAGGTGATGAGGACAACCCTAGGGCTGTATCTCGGTGAAAAGAAAACAATATCCCATGGAGAAACAAGTCTGCTGAGGTAGGTTCAGCACATCGTCTGTGAAACAGACAAGATCCCACAGTCGAGACATATGCACACTTCTGGCCTTGCCCTACCTACACCTGAACACAGGACCCAACTACTCCCTGTCCAGAAGGGGTTCTATGAACAGGGATATAACATTCTGCATGTCCCAGATGCCCATCCAACAGCTGTCCTTATTCAATGCCAGAACAGTCCCAAGTAGTTATACCAACATTAAAGTTGGGAAGGGGGCAACAAATGAAAAGTAGACAAAGGGCAGATACCTAGGTGAAAGCTAATCCCTGTTGGTTCTTGGTAGTTGTGAGCCCTCAGTAGAAACCAAAAACCAGCTGTATGTATAAAATGGTTCAGTTAATCACTGTGGTCTCTAGTGGAGTAGGGGTAGTATTTGGCATTAGGAAAGAGGAGCCAACAGCAAAAGGAGCTAAGAATGTAGTGACTACTTATGGATACAAACCCAGTACTTAACTAACAATGCGTGAATCCAAATCTGTGAAATCTCAAAGCAAAGGACAACCTCAAGTAGGATATTACCCTTTTGTGCCTCAGCCCATGAGGATGCAGATTAAAAACTTCTAGAAAATAGGTTGAAGGGAATTTGCAGTGGCTGAAAAGAAGAGATGGCCTACCATTATGTATTCTGATTCATTCACTTTGATTACTGGACATATGAACAAATAATTCCTCTGAAATATTCAAGCCTTAGGACTTATTTCTTTTCTTTGCTATTTGTTCAGCAAGCCTCTAGAAGGACACAGACCCCCAAAGTTTCTCACTACAAAAAAGAGAAGAATTAAAGCAGCACTGCATCAGTTTGCTCAAAGATGAGAACTAGCATCACAGCACTAAGAGCCAGAGTAGCATTGTGAGATACATGCTAGTAATCCCAAATTGTTTTATAAGTGGCTTAGAACAGGGCTTGCATTCCAGAAACACATGAAATAAATAATTAGCTAGATTTGTTGCATACAAAAGCTCCTCTCCAAGAATCACTTAGTTGATTTGAAAGCTACATGAATCTTTTCAGATTCCCAAACACTGAGAAGGTAGAATTTAAAAAGGAAAACCAATACAAAAAGCCCAGACATAAATTAGCCCCAGCTTCCCAACCATGTGCCTTATCCAAGACTTTTTGCTCTCTGAGCATCAATTTCCTCATTATAAAATGAGGATGACAATTCCTACTTTGTATGGTGCTCTGTGGATTAAACGAGATAATACAAAGGCGGCCAAAAAATATATACACATTTTGAGAAAGGAAAAAACTATTAAAATTGTAATACTCAATAGATAATGAAAACATGAGAGGAATATAAGTCACATTTGACTTCTGTAATTACAAGAGGTGCTCAAAGTGGTTACCATCAGCATCTAGACACTTCTGATTATAGCGAACTAAAAGTAATACATAGTTAATATATCTTAAAATGTGAATACATTTCTTTGGCACCCCCGGTTTAAATAGGTTTCCAACACAGTATATGGCATAAGTGCCAGAAATATGAGTTCCCTTTTCTCCACTTATCTTCATTCTGTCAGTAGCTTCTAGCATTGAAATGGTTCTATCCTGTCCAAACAGCACACGGCAATATTTCTAGCAATTATCATGCCATTATTTCTGGGTTTCTGGAAAGATAGGAGGGGCAATGCAAGAAGGAAATTTTAATAGCCTAGTATTGGAGTTTCCAGAGCAAAACCCAACAGAATTACCTCCCCTAAACCCTGCGTGTAGAAGCTCAAAGGAAGAGAAAACACACCTCTACACAACATTCCTGAGAAGGGTCAGAAGTTTTCTTGGACAGCATTTTCCAAAAAGTAGAATGTCTGGGCCTTCGAAAGTGGGTTCTGACTTCAGGGACTCTCCAGGAAACACACAGAGAAGGTGGGCAAGAAATAGCGAAGGGCAGCAGTAGAAAGTTCTACTCTGGCTTTGCTACGTGCAAATAGGCAAGCGTTCTGCTCCAATTCCCCCAACCCACCTTGACACTGTCCTGGCCTCCTGCAACAATTCCCTTCCTCCGTCTCTGAACACAATGATTAATGCTGGGAACAATTCTGTCCAAAGAGGAGAGAGTCTGGCAATGCCCAAGCCCTTCTTCTCAGGTAACTGAAGCCAAAGAGACATTTCCACATCAGTTGTCCAAGGAAGTGAACAAACAAACTACCCTCACGCCCCCGAAAAAAGACAGTACTATGTACTAGATTTCTCAATGTTTCAAACGTAGTACACCCACTTCTGACCTTATACACATTTCCAGTTACTGGCTGGAAAGGATCCCACTTTACAGTCATCACCAGTCAATAGGCCACTCACATCCTGCTCCTGGATGACCACAACAGCCACTTCGACTGCTTCCAGTCTTGCCCCTCTCCCAACTATTGGCCACCAAGCACCCAAAGTTAATCGACTAAACCCAACATCCAAATAAGACACTCCCCCACTGAAAACCTTTTGCCAGCTCCCCACTACCTTTAGGGTAGAGTCCAGTCCTCAACAAGGTTTACCTGGCCTCCCTGCTCAGACTCCAACCTACCCTCCTGCCACTCCCCAACTGCTAAGCAATGCCCTGGAGAAAAATGCACAGGCTCTGAAGGTGTTTTAGTCTCACCTACCACTGGGACTTCACTGGTGTGGTCCCATGTCCTAAAACACTTTCTCGAGCAGTTAGCCTGGCTCCTCAACCTTAGGCCTCCACTTAGCTATCACTTCCTCAGGATCCATTCCTAATCACCTCCCCTGCATTGGAACATGGGTTAGGCGCCTTCCTAAGTGCTCCCAAGGCAGCCTCTGCTTTCCCTTGCAAGATTTCTCCCACCTTCTGAGTCAGGACAGGGACCATTCCTGTCTCCTGCATTGCTGTTTTCCCTGGTATGCAATATGATCCTGGCTTGTAGTAAGCACTCAGGGGATGTTTGCTTAATTAATTAAGAGATGGACATGAGAAACGGAGTCAGAATTCAAGGGTGGTGGCACTCCTGGGCCTGTGGTAACTGATTTCTCAAGCTTGATTACCTGATTTAGTCAAACTGTCCCTAGAGAGAGAGCATTGTGTTTAGCAGGCTTCTACCACACACTCGGGAGGGTCACAGAGGACTGCTGAGCATCCCAGATGACTCTCGGGGCATCCTAGGAAATGCAGTTGGATCTAAGCATGCTTCCCATAACCATCAGGTTTAACTAAGGACCAAGCAGGGCCAGCAGGCCCCTGCAGTCAGCATTCTGTCAATCATCAGACTAAAGTCCTAGTGGTACTCTGTCTGAGTCTCATCATCAGTCACCCAGTTGGAGCACCCCTTGCCAAAATTTCACCCCAATCTGGTCTTGTATAGGATGGGCCTGGCTGAAATGAATGCTAAAAACCTTTGACCATTTTTTTTAGAAATGTTCACTTTAAATGCCACTGACATTTTGAAGTTATTAATATCTATAGAATACAACAGGTTGCTAAAACATAACCTTCACAAACAGGCAAAAATGCTCAGTTGCAGAAAAATGCAAATTAAAACCACAATGAGATACCACTACATACTCACTAAATTAAAAAGTGCTAGCATGTACGCGGTGCCACTTGAATTCCAAACACTGACTGCAGGACTGTAAAATGGAAAAGCCATGTCAGAAAACAGTTTGGCAGTTTCTGGCAAAGTCATTCATGCACTTATGATATGACCCAGCCATCTCATCCAAGGTATTTACTCAAAAGAAATGAATACGTATGTCCACACAAAGAGCTGTATGTGAATGTTTACAGAAGTCTTACACAAAACAGCCAAAAACTGGGTATAATCAGTTGCTGAAATATCCACCAACTGGTGAAAAATAGAAATGGAATACTACTCAGTATTAAAAAGGAACCAACTACCAATACATGCAACAACATGGATGAATCTCAAAAGCCTTATGCTAAGAGAAATAAGCCAGACACAAAAGACTACATGCCATATGGTTCCATTTATAAGACGTTCTGGAAAAGGCGGTGCAAAGGGGACAGAAATCAGTGCAGTGGTTGCCAGTGGCCATGGATGGGGAGACGTCAGACTACAAAGAAGCATGGAGGTGGTAGTTACACATCTATATACATTTGTCACAACTCATCATATTGTACACTTTTTAAAAGGGTAAATTTTACTGTATGTAAGTTATATGTCAATACATCTAACACCAAAAAACAAAAATTAAAAAACTGCCTTCTAATATGATAATTAACGTGACCCACAAGTCAAATTATGCCCTAGAAGACCTAAGAACTGCATAATATTAAAGCCTGATTATGGTGTGATCCCCTTGCAGCAGGGACAGTAGATTAATATTCATCACCACTTATGAATTCCACAAAGAACTGCAGCCTTAACT